CCCTACAAAGGGACATGCAATGGGACAAAAAGCAGCTGCAGACACAGAAGGGAGATGTGAAGCTGTGTCCTCCATGCCATGCTGCACCCTGGCAGGCTGTGCCTGGGACCTTCTCCTTGGTTTTCCTCCCATTCAGAAACAATTCACCCTGATAAACTCATGTGTATTGCCTCCTTCCCCTGCCACACTCTTGTTCTCTCTCCTCTCTCCTTTTTTTTTTTTTTTAATCTGCAAAAGTCTTTCTGTTTTTCTAATAATTGGCAGCAGAGGTGCAGTTTCTCCCCTCTTTTAAGTGATGAATAGTTGGCCTGAGATCAAAGCCAAGCCCTTGTGGTTTCTTGGCTGCCACAAAAGGGCGTTGGAGCTGGCGCCGAGCCCAGCGCCGCGATAGGCATTTGGGTGAGGTGCCAAGCCAAGGGTCGGTGGCAAAGTGTCTCTACATGTCCTTCCTCTGAGCTCATCCAGTTGTCTTTTGTGTGTGTTTCAGGCCAACAACCAGCTGAAGCAGGCTGAGAAGGAGTACAGCCAGAAGCTGACCAAATCCTCGCAGGTAGGTAGCGAGGAGACAAGAACCTCAGGTGAATCTATTTGGAGACTTGATGAAAAGTGGAATTACTTCTGCTGTTAAGTGTATGTCTTGACAACCAAGAGTTCCCAAACCAAACATTCAGTGTCTTCCTTGCACATTTTAACCTTCCAAAAACCACAGAGCCTTAAGCTGACTAGAAGAAGCAGGTGGGTTTTTTGGAGTTCTAAAGTTATCGTAGAATCATAGAGTCAACCAGGTTGGAAGAGACCTCAAAGATCATCGAGTCCAACCCTACCATGGTTATCAGACCATGGCACTAAGTGCCACATCCAGTCTCAGCTTGAAAACCTCCAGGGAATAGAATAGACCTTAAAGATCATCAAGTCCAACCCTACATGAATTTCATCTTTATTATCTCCTGAGGACCCAAGAGGACTGAGTCCTCCTTCAGTCACTGGGAGAGGAAGGTGAGGTGCTCCATCAACCTGCACATCTCCTAGAATCAGGAGCAGTTGCACAACCAGGAGTTGTATTTTGTGTTTCAGGTGGTGTCACCCACACAGCTGATGGTGGGACAGCAGCCCCAACCATGCTGTCTTCATTTTTATCACTTCTCCTCACCAGTTCTGCACTTCTGCCCAAAACAACACCTTGAAGAACATCAGTGTCCTGAAAGCAAACTGGTGTTGACTTAAATTTTTGTTCTTCAGAGCAGTCTTTTGAACACAGAAGGCAAAAATGCATGTTGAATTTACTTGTGTACTTAAAAGTGATAAGACAGGATGATTTTTAAATGCTTCCCCTTTCAGTTTGACTGACAGGTAGTACTGAAGTGTGAAAAGTGATGGAGATGCAACCAGAAGTTAAGCTTTTAATAATAAGAAAATGGCCACGAGGATTTGTGAGGAGGTGTCATTCTTCTCATTCCTCCCAGCCACAGCTGAGCCTCTGCCTGGGACTGCAAACTGTGTTTGCAGCCAATGATCTAATAATGTTCTTTTAAAAGCAATAAAAACTCTACAAAAAAAGGGTTTAGCAGCCTCTAAACTAGGCAGAAGTGATCAGTGAGACAATAACAAGAAACTGCAAACTTTACTGTTTTACCAACACTGTAAATACTTTAAAACTCTTTATTTGAGCTTTTCAGCTCCTTTCAGTCTTATTCTCTACAACACTTGTCCAAAATTGTGACTTTAGTCATTTCAGTGACATTTATTGGACTGTCATGTTTTTTACCCTGCATTTTTTGAGACTGCATTTAGCAGAATGATAAATATGTTTTACATTACATTTCTCTAATTGAACATGTATTTTCTGCACATTTATTTACATACAGACAGATTATGGTGTCTCTGTCCTTGGAGATACTTAAAACCTGATTTGACTGGACATGATCCTGAGGAACCAGCTCTGAATGACCCTGGTTTGAGCTGGTCCCTTCCACCCTCCCCAGTTCCATGATTCTGTGATAATTATGAATTTT